AGCCCGTTGTCTTGAACTGCCGTGACACAAACACCATGGAAATTCCATAGCAGGTATCCGTCCGACTCCACCTCTTGCAAAGCGCAACAACAGTTGTCATTTCCACTCTGTAACCATGACTCTGCCATGGCGATCGTGCCAGGCTAGGTGCACTTTGAGGCCACATGAAGTGGTGAAGGCTCTATGGCATGACACAGGGCAGGGCCAGGTGTTGTGGGTTGACAGATGACTGGCAGATGCACGACTTATGCTCCCCCCCCCTCTGTGCCAACTTGTCGCATTTCAGCCGCCTGGCACTCCTCTCACTGTTGTGAGCACCGCTCCTCCGCCCTCTGTTGTTGTTGGAGGGCAACCACCCCGAACTGTGCACAATTTCACGAGCTTCCTCCACAGAGGCTGACCTTGACACCACTTGTACCAGTCGTCGACAAGTCCCATCAACTGCACGTCCTCCCTTACCACATCAGCACATCTCCTCTACCCTTGGATCTTTCAAACGTGACTTTACAGAAAGCCCCAAGAATATGAATTCCTGCAGTCACGAAAGCTTTCAGTCCTCTCCAGTCCTTGCCACCACATCGTTTGTCCTCGTCTACATGGCCAAACAGAAGCTGCTTGGGCAAGCGGTGGCTGGGCAACATGACCCAGCAAATGCAACGCCGTTTACTGAATACGCACGCACACACCCACACATAGTTGCCACATCAATAAGGTAAGCCAGAGAATCGAAGAACTGTAATCTGAGCTGCAAAAATCAATGCACAGACTTGTTCACCCTAGCGTGGGAGTAGGAAAGGAAGACGTAATGGTTCGAGACGATGCACCTCCCCATGCAAAGGTAAAGGATATGGTTTTAGCTCGCGTGTTTGTAGACGAATGCAATATGATGCAGGCAGATAATGTGCGCTTGCTTGCACGTGCGTCCGTGTTTGCACGAGTGAAATTATATCCGGCCAGATGGCAAATTGGTCAGAGCATTCACCCCCATGATTGGTCGGCGGCACCCCTTCATCATCCTTCCGGGGTCAAATGCAATAGCGAAGTGTCTGTGGGGGAAATCAAAATGCCCCTGCCATACGAATGTGGAATTTCCACCAATGGCTCAGGGACAACATCGGAGAGAAACTCTAACCATTTGGGCAGCGAGACATACATTTTTTTTTAACTTGAGTTCATGTCGGTCATCTTCGGACTCACAATGGCCAGCTCCGTATAAGCTGTGAGCAGGTGCTTCGACGGGTGATGCTGTGCAACGTTTGAAATACAACGGAACAAGCTATTTAACGGCCACTGTCACTTTAAGATTTTGCTTTGTTGATGTTTTTGTTTTGTTGCGGTTGCACCCGAGTCAAGAGCCGCATGGCTCACGGGGCATTACCAAATAAATGAAACTTAACTGAAACTGTGAAGCAAGGTGGCGCGTCAGATTATTATGAACATACCCCGAAGTATTAATCAGGGCGGCCGCTGGAGTTGAACCGTTGGAACCGTCTGCAACGAGCGGCGAACGCGCTTACCGCTTGCCCGCATCACCGCCCGAGTTGTGGTGATGATGGTATTGGTGGTGTGAATACGAACAAACAGAAATGTTTACGCCTATACGCGATGATAACAATAATAATAATAAATCACACGAGGTTTTAATATGGTGAATGTAAACTCACAAAATGAAAACAGAAGAATGAACAATGTTCATGACAAGCGCCGTTAATTGCAATGTTGCCGTTCAATCACTGCGATCGCCGTTACTGAACAGTTCACAATAAGGCTCACAAAGGAACGTCAACATGTGCAAAACAAAAATAGTTAAAAGCTTCACGGCTGTATGCGAAACAATTGTAACTGTTTTATGACGTGTTCGTGTGGAACAATTGTAACTGTTTTATGACGTGTTCGTGTGGAACAATTGTAACTGTTTTATGACGTGTTCGTGTGGAACAATTGTAACTGTTTTATGACGTGTTCGTGTGGAACATTTCCCGAGGGGCCGTCCATATATGACGTCACGCGATTTTGGACGATTTTTGACCACCCCCCCCCCCTACATCGTCACACGACGTCACAAAAAGTCAGACCCCCCCCTCAAATATGACGTCACAATGCTCTGCCCCCCCCTCCCCCCAAAACCATATTTCCATTTTGAAAATAAAACATGCTTCAAATCGCGTTAAACTGTTGTCATTGTAGTGCGTATTTAACGTGGCGCTGCACTCTGATGTTGTAGGAGTGTTGTTATAACAATTCCATATTTATTTAAAGTTGCGTATTTTGATGTGAATGTGACATTTCTCAAACCCCCGCCCCCCCCCTCTCCCCCTCGTCACACATCGTCACAAAAATCTGACCCCCTCCCCAGGTGCGTGACGTCATTTATGGACGGCCCCTTATGACAAATTCGCAACGTGGCACGTAACACAATCCGTGTCAAGTGACTGCACGCAGGTCACACGGCTTCCCACTGTCATAACGAACGCATTTGGACTCCCGTCTGTTTGCTGTGCGCAATGCCTCCAGGAGAAACAAACAAAAAAAGGTGAACATTTTTTAGCTCGCGTAAGTTTTGTTTTTTGGGGGGGAAATAACAGAAAGTAACGTCATTGCGTCCGTGCAATTCGCAGTTTTTCTGCTTTTTCTTTGTCGCCTGCCATTATTAACTTCGGCATTTCTCCCCCACCGCCCTCCCCATCAAAATTTCCAGCGCGGCCCTCTTAGTGGCTAGTCCGTCTCAAGCATCGCGTTTCATTAACGTTAGGTGACAGTTTCCTAACTAAAGCCGCGCACAGCAGCTGCTGTCGTTAACTTTGTCCCCCACCCTCGCACCTCCGATTAGCACGGTTGGCTACAGATGTACGTCGCTTAAGAAGGTCAACGTACGCACATACAACACACTGCCACAATCACACTGCCACAATCACACTGCCACTGCCACAATCACACTGCCACAATTTCACTGCCACAATCTACACTGCCACAATCACACTGCCACAATCAATCAATCACATTGCCACAATCACACTGCCACAATCACACTGCTACAATCACACTGCCACAATCTACACTGCCACAATCACACTGCCACGATCACAATCTCACTGCCACAATCACACTGCCACAATCACACTGCCACAATCACACTGCCACAATCAATCAATCACATTGCCACAATCACACTGCCACAATCACAATCGCACTGCCACAATTTCACTGCCACAATCTACACTGCCACAATCAATCAATCACACTGCCACAATCTACACTGCCACAATCACACTGCCACAATCACAATCTCACTGCCACAATTTCACTGCCACAATCTACACTGCCACAATCACACTGCCACAATCAATCAATCACATTGCCACAATCACACTGCCACAATCACACTGCTACAATCACACTGCCACAATCTACACTGCCACAATCACACTGCCACGATCACAATCTCACTGCCACAATCACACTGCCACAATCACACTGCCACAATTTCACTGCCACAATCTACACTGCCACAATCAATCAATCACACTGCCACAATCACACTGCCACAATCTACACTGCCACAATCACACTGCCACAATCACACTGCCACAATCAATCAATCACATTGCCACAATCACACTGCCACAATCACATTGCCACAATCACACTGCCACAATCACACTGCCACAATCTACACTGCCACAATCACAATCTCACTGCCACAATCACACTGCCACAATCAATCACATTGCCACAATCACACTGCCACAATCACACTGCCACAATCACACTGCCACAATCTCACTGCCACAATCTACACTGCCACAATCTCACTGCCACAATCACAATCTCACTGCCACAATCTACACTGCCACTGCCACATCACACTGCCACAATCACACTGCCACAATCACAATCTACACTGCCACAATCACACTGCCACAATCTCACTGCCACAATCACACTACCACAATCCACACTGCCACAATCTGCACTGCCACTGCCACAATCACACTGGCACTGCCACAATCCACACTGCCACAATCACACTGCCACAATCTCACTGCCACAATCTCACTGCCACAATCTCACTGCCACAATCACACTGCCACAATCACACTGCCACAATCACACTGCCACTGCCACAATCCACACTGCCACAATCAATCACATTGCCACAATCACACTGCCACAATCACACTGCCACAATCACACTGCCACAATCTACACTGCCACAATCACAATCACACTGCCACAATCTACACTGCCACAATCTTCAAAATCTACACTGCCAGAATCACACTGCCACAATCACACTGCCACAATCTCACTGCCACAATCACACTGCCACAATCACACTGCCACTGCCACAATCCACACTGCCACAATCAATCACATTGCCACAATCACACTGCCACAATCACAATGTCACTGTCACAATCACACTGCCACAATCACAATCACACTGCCACAATCTACACTGCCACAATCACAATCACACTGCCACTGCCACAATCTACACTGACACAATCTTCAAAATCTACACTGCCACAATCACACTGCCACAATCACACTGCCACAATCACACTGCCACAATCTCACTGCCACAATCACATTGCCACAATCTCACTGCCACAATCTCACTGCCACAATCATAATCACACTGCCACAATCATAATCACACTGCCACAATCACAATGCCACAATCACAATCACACTGCCACAATTTCACTGCCAGCCAAGAGAATGCGCAGTTTCTGTCGCCTCCAGGAATGCCCTCCGTGGAACACCCAGACACCCAACTCCTGATTTACGTGTGGTGGAATTTTCTGCAAACAAACAATCGGGCTTTATCCCAGCGCTGCCACGTGGAGACGATGCAACTGCAGTGCTGGGCAGCCAGCATCAGTTAGGCCTCCTGTGCAACAACCCTCGTCAGATTAAATCAGCAGTTCTTGAGCCCCCATCTCGAAGCCACGAATCTGTCATTTAATTGGCACTTTACTTCTCATTATTGTTCGGGGGGGGGGGGGGGGAGTTTCGTTGTTTAAGCGTTCGCTGCTCAGGCCATCGATCATCGGATCAATCCTCCAGGTTCAAGCTGCTCCTCGTCCCTGGTTACAGGGTCGTCTTGTGAAGTGGCACAAAATAAAATCAAATAAAAAAAATGACCCCGTCGAATTTGGATACGAAGCACAGTGTCGCCGCTGTCATCAACGCTGTTGCTGTTTCTCAGTTAGACCTCATGTCCTGTTGCGGAGGAGGAGTGCAGCCCTCAACTGTGTGGGCCAGAGGTCCCTTGAAGGGGGATCTCAGAGGTAGCTCTGTGAAACCCGCTTCCGTGACCCGTTCTCTCACACGAAGGAGGGTTTCGAACCGCCCTGCGAGACAGGCCCGAATTGGGCACTCCGTGTCATCACATGACCACCCGGGTGCATGGCTTTGATCTGCCAAGTAAAACTACGATGCTCCATCAACCGCTTGAGAACAGCAACTTGTCACTGCGCCACACCTCCTCGTCGACAAGTTGGAGAATCAAAGGCAACCCACACAATGTGCGACCGCGGCCATCCGAACCGGACGACGGAACCACCGTACCGCGAACGAACTGCACCGTACGCCCGCAATCCCGGCGGGCCGAGCAGTATTCGTCGTGCCAACGAGGCGATCGCACGGCTCGCAGACTTTGAACAACTTGGACGCGTGATCTTGCACGCGCTTGCCACAAACGCTTAGAAGAAGACCGTGAGCACGATCAGGATAAAACTTGACAACAAGGACTAATACCCTATGGTTTTTTCGGTGAAGTCACGTAGGTAAAAAAAAAAGCAATAAAATAAATGAAAACAACCAAATTCAATCACGTTACGGGCGCTTGTGTTACGCCCGAAACGTCGTGATTTAATTTAGTTGTTTTCATTCAATTTCATAGATTTTTTTTTACCTACGTGACTTTACCAGAAAAAAACAAAGAGTATGAATCCTTGCAGTCACGAAAGCTTCAAATCTAGAACAAGAACTAACTACATTTTAGTCCGTCTAAATCTATGACCGTGCTTTCGGTGGCACGGCAATATTCCCGTGGGTTGTAAAAACAAGAGGAAAGTGCTGGGAAAGGTGAAATTTTTGTTTGCAACCGCTAAATTTATTGCATCGTGTCCGACCGATATATTTACTTTCACAGAGATCGATGATACGGGCCTGAGAAACCTAACGGGAATGTCTACGCGGGAGGGGGCAATAAGAATATCTGTCAAAAGAGAGAGAGGGAGAGAAAAAAATCATGAATTTTTAAAAGGCTAAGGGAATTTGGAGCGTTAAATTGCAATGGCGGTTTTTAAACTGGAGCTTTTAAACTGTCAATCAGAAGCAGTACTTTGATTTCTTGATTTGAAAAAATAAAAAAATCAGGCACCGGGTTCACTCGAGGGACCTGATATAATGGTCAGGCGAAATCTCCCGAAACAAAAGTTGAAATATGACAATATAAGAAATGAAGGTGGATAGCTCTCAATTCTCATATCAGCCGTGCTCATTCGCACGTTGAAGCGAGCACTGGTCTAATCGTCCACTGCTCGCGTCAGCAAAGTAAAACGATTACTTAAAGAAGCAAAAGAGATGGCACATTATACATCTTAAGCCCCCCCCCCCACACACATTCCGTGCAGGTAAAGTTGAAATAAATGTTCATACCCTAAATTACGCGGGTTGCATTTTTTTTCCCCGTAAGCCCCAGTCCTCCCCTCCCGACAACCATTACCCCAGATAATTCATAGTTGACTGTAACAAAACCTTGCGAAACACCAAACAAATCTAAAGTAACTTTAAAAAGATGAGGAAGCTGTGTACGTGTGCATGTTGAACTTCTTTCGCACCGTACGAGGCCAGCCGTGCTAATCGGAGGTGCGGGAGAAGGACAACAAACTATGGGTCTTTGCGTGAGTCTACAGGTCTCTGTGTGAGTCTATGAGTCTCTGTGCGAGTCTATGGGTCTCTGTGTGAGTGTATGGGTGTTCGTGAGAGTCTATGGGTCTCTGCGTGAGTCTATGGGACTCTGTCCGAGTTGTCTAAGTATGCATGTTGAAATTCTTCCGTACCGTGCGTAGCTAATCGTGCTCATCGGAGGTGCGGGGGAAGGACAGCAAACTAAACACAAAAAAGAAATGGGTTTTCAATTCGGAGGCTACACCAGGCAACCAAGCAGTATGCGGCTGACCTCAACACTGTATCCATTGTCCAGTGGACACACTGACCCTGTCCGTGCCACCAACTCACCCGGTGGGAGAAACAATCAAAGCCTTCTTTTCCACGATCCGCTTAAAGATGCAAAACGCGAGTGCGGGTGGGATGGCGCCCGCATCCCACGCTGCGCTCGCAGTCAAACAAAAACAAAGGAAATCGGGAGGGGGAGGCTCCCGAGAGAGTTCAACTTGGGGGTTGACTTGGGGGGGGGGGGTGGCGGGGGAGGGGGGATGTGGAAGCTGGACAAAATAAAAAAACCCGAGGGGGTGTCTACGGAACGAAGCGACTTTCCCGAGCGACGACTCGTGGCAAAACGGAACGCCGCGAAACAACAACAACAGAAAATCATCGACGTCGCCTACCGCATGGGTGCATGGCCCAAAACAACAAACGGTCACCTGTATTCTGTGGGGTTAAAGCAATTGAAAGACGCTCTCCGGAGAGTAAAGACACGCCCGAAACGTGTTGCCGCATGTCAATAGAGCTACACAAATCTGGCACGCACGCAAGCAAGCACGCGACTGCCGGATTATAAGATGAAACCACCCCGAAAGTTGCTTTAAATACAGAGGGGGGGGCGGGGGGGAGGGAGAAGCGGGTGATAAGCAGAATTCGGCGCGTAAAATATTACGAACAACAGCCAGGCTAAATAAAATACCGTTAAATTCTTGCCGTTTCTTTATTAAAAATTATGTTTATTGGTTCCCCCCCCGCCTCTCATATGCATTCAAATCGTCTTGCAATTTTAATCTCTTGCGTGGAGAGCAACGTGTGTCGGGGGGGGGGGGGGGAAGGTTGTGTATGTGTGTGTGTGTGTTTAGGGGGCGGTGTGGGGAAAAACCCCCCTGAACAAATGGTTACAAGGTTTTCTCATTATCAACGGAAGCTTCCACTTCCTCGGCATTTGAGCAGCCCCACAAGCGAGCACGGGAAGCAGCGAGGTCGTGACGGCGGCGCTTGTGACGACGAGCTGGTGGTGGTGGAGTGAGGCCGGAAAGAAAATGTTCAGCCGTCGACACACACACACGGCCACACTTGTGAAGGGTTCCCGCACCCCCACCCTCCTCCTCTTCCCCACACGCCGCTCCTCTGCCGATGGGTTTGGCGCGTCCAAACTGGTCCCCTTTACTTCCCTGCCTGCATCGTGCGCACGCACGCACACGTACACACGCACATGCACGCACGCACGCACGCACGTGCACGCACATGCACGTACGCACGTACGCACGCGCACACACACACGCACACACACACGTACACACGCAGGCACACACGCACACACACGTACACACACGTACGCACACACAGGTCGAAATTAACACAGGCACAGGGACGTGGGCATGTGCAAGTACACGCAAGGTAGACATTGACACGCGCAGATTAGCACGCAAATACAAACACACGTATGTACGTATGTACGTTGAACTTCTTTTGCACAGTACGTAGCCAAATGTGCTAATCGGAGGTGCGGGGAGGGGGGGGCAGAAGGACAATAACGCTTAACACACAAAGCATCTCTGCTAAAGAAATCAGTTTTCAATTTAGAACAAACAGCCCTGCCATGATCCGTGCGTGACTGCCCAAGTCATTTGGCGACGGTGCGTTGGCGGTGATGCACGCGCGCATTTAACCGAGGTGCACATGCAACAACAGCTGCCCGTTCACCAGTAAGTGACGCTGATGTCACCACAGCCTTGTGCCAGGCGAGATGCACTTTAAGGTCACGTGAAGGGTCAAAGGTTCGCCCACAGGTCACGGGACAGACATCGGGTGTTATGGGTTGACTGGCGGATTGCACTTAGAGGTCACCAGATCTGACCACACACCCATGGTCAGATGCACGCACACGTGCATAGACACAGAGTGACATGCCTATGCAAGATCTCCCCCCTGCAGCATTTTTAAGACTGTCAGGATAAAGTGCTGTAAATGAGTCACTTGTTAAGGCCAGCACAGCGCAAAAAGGAGTGGTGTGGCCTAAAACCATGCCCGGCTGCCTTCATGCCCCCAATGCTGATATTAAAACACTGCCACATACTCCATTGAAACTGGAGTTGACATAAGGGAGTCCTAGGACCCCAGATTTTGGCTGTGAGAATCGAACTTGGGTCACTGGGTTCGTAATGCAGTGAACTAACCACTACACGACCACTCCCCACATGTTTAAAAACATACAATGACGGTGGCAAAGACAAAGATGCCCCATATAGCCTTTAACAGACTGTTCGGGCAAGTGCTGCTCGCGCACACAAGAGGTTGGGTGGCTAATACCACTCCCGGCTGCCTTCGACTCCCCAGTGGCGATGTTCACACACCACACCAGGTACACCTAAGGGCAGGCCCAGGAACCATTCATATAATCGTTACTGGTGTTGGCCATGAGCAGGATTTAAACTCGGGTCACCGGGTTCGTAGCGCAGCGCGCTATAACCGCTACACTAGCGCACACACACACACGCGCGCAGTCCTATGCGTGTGTGCAACAACAACTGCCGTTCACCACTAAGTGACGGTGATGCCACCACGTCGCTTGTGCCATGGACATCTGGCTATACAACCTAGAAGCGGGTGCATACAGCGGCACACAAAAAAAAGCCAGCACACATATACCACGTAAGAAAATAATGACAATAGATCAAAATGTACCCCTTCAGGCACTCTGGGCTGCCTTAAAATAAGAATGTACATCAGGGCAAGATCGTGTGGATGTCTAAGAAGATGCCTGGAGGCTTTGGCCAGAGAGCGAATGGGTGCGAGAGAAAGTGGGTGGGTAAGTAACAAGAGATTCAGTGTAACCTACTTTGTGTCGAAGGCCTCTTACGAGCTCAACTGTAATATCCCTTAACCCGAACCGCACAGTTCAAGTGAAAGAAAAAAATCCAGTCGGCGTCCGGTGCGTGCTCTCGGCTCTGCTTCGCTCTGCGCTGCCCGGCTCCCAAGAAGGGCTGAGGCAAGGCCGGATGAAGATTTTGAAGGCCCCTGCCCCCCCCCCCACCACCACCACCTCAGTAATATTTTCAAAAGGAAAACAAAGTGAAATAAATTATTTTAATTTTTTTACAAGGCTAACAACATAAAATTGAGCATTCACAAATGAAATAACTTTTCACTTCATCTCTGGAGGCCCTCCAGCATGGCGGAGACCCCCTAGGCTGCAGCCCCTCCAAAAGCCCCCACGTGCCTAGATCCGACCCTGGCGTGAGGCTTTCGAGGAGCGGCCCAGCAGCAATGTGCTCCCAGGGAGAGAAACGTCGGTGGGCCATTCAATACCAATTAAAATAGAATCGGGCTCAGAGCACAGGGCACAGTCGCGTGCGGGCAGCGGCGTGCGGAAGCAAAAGGGGTGAAAAAACAGCTAAAGGTGCAGCCCCGCAATCGCTTGCTCGCGGCACTGTTGGCAGAAGGCGCCTCCACTGGAGGGGATTCTACAGGGGGGTCGTTATAACGGTGTGTGTGTGTGTTACTTTGGCCTACTCTTTCACACTAAGTAGATGTGTGGGAAGCGGTGGAGGTACTCGCGGTTTTTTTTACCTCCATCATACGTGACCCGCTGATGGACGAACTGTGTTGTACCCATTTTTACTGCTGGGTGGGCACAGCTGGAAGAAGGGTGGGATTTCTAATATTTGCCCCACTGTTTCAACTGCAAAATTGAGATTCAATCGAACCTGGTGTAAAAAACTAAATTATTATTATTATTATTTTACCAGGTAAAGCTCAAAGAGCTATGTAACTCTTTTTCATAACCGACCCGGCTACAATTGATAGCTCAAAGATGTGGCTTATCACGTGGGCATTTATAGAAGCCAAATACTCTTAAACGCATGTTGGTTCTAAATGTAGAGGAAAAAAACCAGAGGACCCGGTGACAAATCCAAACGACCACGGGGAGAGAGACACGCAAACTCCAAATATACAGCAGCAGCAGCAGGCGTCAGGGTCGGGATCGAACCCACGACCTCCTGCATACCAAGCGAGGTAATCATCTCTCGTAGCAATGCAGAGCAAGAATATTTGACCAACATCTTAAACAAACATTGTGTGGTTGGCATGGGCCCTAGTTACAAGGAATTAAATAGATTCGCCACAAAAATAACAGGAGAGAATCTTTGGAGAATACATTTCATTCCAAAATCTCTGCGCACCTCCGATCAATCGCAATACACTTATTAAAATCCCTTAACACTCCCCACTGCAATATTTGGAGCCGTTGCTTTCACAAAATTAGCCTCTTGAGAAGAAAGTAACAGAGGATCTTACGAGTGGCAAATAATGACAGTCTGTTCCCCTATGACGCGTGCTTCCATTACGTGAATTAAAAAAAAGCGATGAATGTATTAGGGAATTTTTTTTTTCATAACGCGGATGCGAATTGGATATAACACGACTGAGCGAACAGAACTACGTCGCGCGAGTATGACTAAGCGGTCGTAGCGGCTGCCACGGCGTAGCGTCATCGCACGAGACGGGATGCTGCTGGATGCTTCTAGAAGCCACCCGCGCGCCTCGGTCTTTGTTCAGCCTGCGCGTGCGCATCCCCTCGTGATATCCCGGACTGTGCTTTACCCTACGTTATATTTTATTCATCATGACGAGATTTTTTACAGAGCGCGGCGTTCTTCAGGAACGCAAAAAAAACTACCGCGCTATCGGAGATGAGACTGTGATCGGATAAGCCTGGAGTTGTGCACTGTTCTGGGACTGTTCTTTGACACAAGGAGTTATTGCACTGAGCACCGCCAAGTGGAAACATCGTCATGTCGCACAACATGACAGCGATAGCACAATTGCAATTGTAATAATTTGTAGAAAAAAAACAGCAAACGCTGTTCAAAATATGAATCGTCGAGTAACAATGACCTTTCAAGGGCAGGGCATACGTGTGTGTGTGTGTGTGAAACTGCTTTCGAATGAGCATGCATTATTTTTTTGTTCTCCTGCTCTGGGGCATCTCAACCACTAAGTTCACGATGGCACCGCCACTGTTGCCCACGTGAGAGCTGGGGGATGGCAAATGCTTTCATGCACAGGTCATTTTATGCCTTCTCCACGGAGGATAATTTAATTTACTGCTACCTCCACACGCAGCTGTGTCTTTGCGGGCTGAACGAAGCGGAACGAGGGAAAGAGTTCGAGAAAAGGTCGATGTTACGCCCCCGGTCTCAGCTTCTGCAACGTGGCGGTCATCTCCTCTAGGTTCACTCAGCCCGAAATTAGCTCACGGAACTGCTAAGAAAACTGTGTATAGGTGTGCTGCCGACTCCTCACCCAGGCAAGCGCACCGACACCAGATGTTCCTGCTTATTATCTCTTCGCGCGCGTTTACATTACCAATCTGGCGAAGCAGACGTCGACCGATATTCACTTTTACGACGTTTTGGGACGTCGGACAACATTTATTCGCGGCTCCTGCGCTGTGTTGCGAACATCCCCCGGACTTGGCTCGCGAAGCCGAGCATTGCGCTGCATCTCAGCAAGAGAAACCCCAGCGCAAACCTGACTTTGCGGGACTGGACGTAATAAGCACGACGCCGCGGACACAAAGGGGCTTACAGAGAATGTTCTCGGAACGCGTGCACGCGGAAAAGAAGCGGAAGAGGTGTTGACGATGGTCGCGACGGTGATGGCGGCAGTCGAAGTGATGAAGGGTTTGGAATGAACTTCGCTCATCGTCACTGACCCCTCCGAGATCGACAAACGGCGTGCCGCTTTGTGGGAAGCGAAAGATGGAAAGATGGCACAGGACTGTAGAATTTCAGCCACTCTCTCAGGAATACCGACAGAGATTAGCGGCATACAAATGTTCGTTTGAGCATAGAGGCACACTTTGACTTTGATGTTGATGATGGCAATGATGACCCTGACCCTAAAAAGTAGGCTTGTGTTGGTAATGATTATGATAATGTTGATGTTAGTGTTGGTAAATATGATGGTGTTGTTGACCATGCCAATAATAATAATATTTATGTAGTGGTTTTTCATCAAGGATCTCAAAGCGCTCTACAGGACACCGCAGCAGCGCACCCTCCGCATAAAAATAATATTATGAATACATTTGAAGAATCCATTTACTAAATGATGATAACCGTGATCCTGATTCCGAAATTGATGCTGGTGTTGTCGACGGTGGTAACGAT